GATTTGAAAGAGATGCCGTCTTTATTATTCCTATGAAATAATTACTTTTCCCAATTGATTTATTAATTAACTACTTAATTAGTTACTAACTTTAAGCCCATTTGTGTTAGCTCACAGAAGAGCAAACCAAAGTAGGACTTTCAGTTGACGACAATGGGAATGCAATTACTCCGAGAGAAGATCCAAAGAAATCAAATGACACCCCTCGATCACGATCAAGTAGAACCAACGAAGCGTTGCGGAAGAAAGGTAAAGTCATTTGTAGAGATCGTGGCTCAAAGATATCCTTATTGGGAAGTTTCGTTGAGGCATAGCAAGTAAGAGGAGTGTTGGACAATGTGGCCTCAAAATGAGAGTAAAAACGTCGACTACAAGTTGCCACAAACAACCATCTTGTTGGCTGCAGTTTCTAATCGAGTCAATAGTCACTAGTCGTTCAGTCGTCCAACTCATTGGCGCATACTCTGCGTGCACAGTGTCAGCACAGTGTGAACCCACCTCTAATGTGCTTGGTGGCCTAAATTGTGCTTGCGCCATTCCATGTCCTTGAGAATCATCATCGAAATGGAATTTTAGTTCAGTAATTTTATAACAAATGTTGATTAGACAAATAATGATTCAAAGTTGGACTTCTGGATGTGGCCACTAAAACAAGAACACGCCATGTTTCGACACAAAGAACAAATAAGATGTGATCTTTTGAGATAAATTAATGATCATACTATGTATTGGTAAAGGAGACGTTTTCTCTATCGAAGCCGAAGAGGTGTTGGATCAGTGCGAGAGCCTTCCGAGAACGCTGCATTCCAAACGAAGGGGGGGGGGACACAAAAGGCATACTCTACCATTGACACAAGATATCAACTGATAATAAAATTGAAAAAAATGGTTTGGGCATGGTGTAGGTGATTGCATTCCACTGCGGATTAATTCTGACAATGTATGCAAATCTGCAGAAGTGAAAGGTGGAAATGGAGGCGTATAGTCTGCGTCTGAGTGGGAAGTGAAGATCTTTTCTCTTTCAATTAATTGGTTAACATATCTGACATCACATTATGCATGGCACAGTGAAATGAAGCACTCTATTGATGAGATCGACCATGAGCATAAAGAAGATGAAGCCATTCAAGATTGATTGGAATAGAACAGGGCTGAGAGAAATATCGACATATGTCCTGATCTTTGCACTCTCTTTACATTGTAGTAGAAGCACCCGAAGAATCCTCCAGAGAAGTGGAAAATTTGGCAGAAGTGGAGAAGAGAAAGAAGATGAAATTGAGCCTTTTGAAAAACGAAGGTGATATTGCATTCATCTCTACTTATTCTACTTGTCCCATTGCCTCACTAACCAATGCAAATGTTGTCCAGCTGAAAGAGTGGCTTTCCGATTGCAATTAATATGCCGAGTGGGAGGCAACATGCTAATGGAGTTTGATAGAGTAGTTGCTGATTTCCAGGAGGAAATAACAAAGTGCATTGAAATGGAGTATAACGCGGTTAATGACTTGTAATTGTATTTACTCTGGTTTGGTTTCTATGCCAAAATGTGCTTTAGAGTGCATGGATTTGAAAACGATGTCTGGGCTAAGATCGAAAATGGTGAATATCTCAAGTCTCAAGTCCTAATTGCCGATGGCCGATCTTTCGGCAAACCAGAAGTGAGTTCTCATTAGCCTTTGTATTAATAAATAAATCATGCAACTGTAGAATGAGACCATCCTTGAGGTTGAAAGGTTGCCTTTCATCAATCCTTTTCAAAAGTCCACAGAAGACGAACGGTTGAAGCCTGACCCTCTCACATCACTTTCAAAGCTCAAGAGTCAAGTAAGCTAGTTTGTTTATTTAAATAATGGTGTTTTTGATACTCGAATGCATCTTTCCCCAGAAGCGGACGAGAAATGAGCGAAACTAGAGCAATTATTTATCTCGAGTGTGAGATCTGGTGAGGTGCCGGTCTTTGAAACTGTTGCACATTGCAACACCAACAGGCCTTTTCGTATCATCAATAAACCCTAAGGCAGAGACCTCTAGTGTGGAAAGGCTTAGGAAGTTGGCAAAGCTACCTCAATAATGTGTGGTGGAAGGAGGCGTATGGAGAAGAACACGTTCATTTGGGTTTTGTGTAACTGATGTTCAGAAAGGTCATCAAATGTCATTTCGATTGTTGATTGACTGTGAGGTTCATGAACTCGTGACCTCAATTGTCTCCCCTCTCCCCATCCCCCTCTCAATGCGATCAACATCACTATTCTCTCCCCACACGTATCAGAATGTTCCAGCTAGCAATCGATTCTTTAGTTCATGTTCGTGGTGGGTATCCCACAAAGCCACATCATGCTTTCCCTTAATACCTACTTCTTTCCCAAGTGTTCCTAAAGCGACTCCTAAGGAATCTGAGAGGTCAATTTTAATTAGAATTAAGGTTAAAGGATTTAGCTTGTAAAGTGCATTACAAAGCGTATTAGCAGGCGGAATGGCATTCATACTTTAACTTACTAATTCCCATGCTCTAAAATGCGAATTGTCAATTTCTTTTCTTTTCTGTTAACTTCATAGCTGCAAGAAGAAGCGCCATCTGGTTTAATAAATCAGAAGAGATTCTTTGAGCTTCTTTCGGAGTGTGAGGCCAGTGAGGCATTGGAGGGAGCAAGAAGATTTACGATCCCTTATACTGATGCCTTCAAAACAACCGGACAAAGTGAAACCTCTTTCGTAGACTGGAAGAGATATTTTGAATTGCAATGCATGAAGTACTTGAATATGTCAGGAGACCAGTTGTGGGTGAGGATGTGTTCACTGAGGAAATTGGTTTCAATATTGAATAAGGGAGCTCTCATAGGTGTCTGGCTGCAATCGGAGGTAGTTAGGAAATGCATGTTTGGAGACACGGTGAGTACAAAAGACCACGTTTGATCAAAGCTTAACTTGGAGTATCAGTACATTCAGAATCAATAGCAAAGTTATTTCACGCAGATTAGTGGAGTTGCTGACCTGTTTCTAAGTCTGTATGAACTTGAGGCCGTTGATGGAACTCGGAACATTAACCTGAAGGAGCTCATCATTTTCATAGCGACTTTCATAGCCAAATCACCAATAGAAGGTCTGATTAGAAGTATCAATGCTCTTTTACCGCCGACGTGTGAACTTCTGGATGAGCAGAGTTATCAAGATTTGGTCGAGCAAGTTTTGAAATCACAGATTTTTCAACTATTCCTTTAATAAAACGAGATTGCATTAAAATACGATTAGATTGACGAACCATGTTGCTTATATGCTAATTGTTTATGTATCATAAATATGTTCCAGCTCATTTAACTCCGTCAATGAGGCGTTGATTTCCACTGACGACTTTGCCACTTCCCAAGAAGTTACTGAGGAAGTTGGTTTGAGCATTCAATTTATTGCTTCAACTATCAAAATGTGCTTTTACTTGGCACGTGTTTTCACAGGTTTTGAAGCATCTCCAAAGCAAACGCATTCCTGTTTGTGTGGGAAGCATAAATGTAGGTTGTGCTGCCCTCAACTTAAAGTTGAATGCCCTATCACATCTCCCATTTTCCACTTCAATTTCCAGATACAGCTGAATACGATATTTGGGAAGTACGGAGCGAAGGAAATACCAATCCGACTCCTTCTCAGTGATTCGCAATTTCATTCCCTCTTCCAGCGACTAATCGCTTAATTGCATATTTCTTGATTTATTCACTGTTTCATTTCCAATTCAATAAGTAATATCGACACATTCATTGCTATATAAAACCGAATTTTCCCTATTACTACTTAAATTTATACGAGTATGCTTTCCGTTCTTCACTAAGTATAAGACTAGGAATAACAACACATTAATTTGTTCCTTATTATCATTTGTGAAGATGTATAAGATTTAGGAAATCAATCCATTGATATGCTCCAAATCAACAATTTTTTAATACAATTACAAGAACATATTCGATTGAAAAGCGGCCTGAAACTTGAATGCCTAATGGAACATTAAAGAACTACCTTTCATTTGTATTAGATCCGAATTCGTATTGGCTTAAGACCCTCTAAACGTCTATTAACTCCAAGGTCAGATTTGTGACTTTTCAAAAATATAATTCTATTTACACGAATCTAACAAGTTTAATTAGTTCGTTTGATTTTATGAAAATTTAATCTCGCAGTATTTTTAATATTTTGCTTGTATTTATTTATTATCTCCAATGAGACCACGAAAAATGAAATCGAGGTTCGTTGCATCTAGGCTCACAAAAGATGTAAAGCAGACAGTTCATCAATTTAGGAGTTGCATTAAAACTATGTGTATCGTTTAAAACTCATATAAATACGACCGACATGAACAAGATTGGCAACATTTTAAATTACACTACGTCAATCAGATGCAGTTGCATTTGTGGATAGACAATACTATCCGAAAATGTCATGCTGTCAAATAGCATAGCAAGAACGCAGCCCAACGGCAAGGTTTGGCTGTTTGTGCCACTAAGCCAAACCGATTAGCCCCAGATGGCGGAATTGCTGGCAAAATACCTGTCAATAAAAAGATGGGAATCATCCATGACTCTTCACACACATTATTGCAATGGGGTTGACAAAATTGGATGGGGAATCAATGCGACTTGCCATGACTGTGCCAATCACGGCTTGGAAGTCTCGGCTCACCCACCAAGCTCTTCCAGACCAGTTACTGGCTGCTTCAACGACAACCGGAGTGGAATCTGGCCAAATTGACCCCAGTCGTTTCACTTGTTGCATAGCCGATTATGTATTACATGGATTTTTCCCATCTTTTTATTGACAGGGATTTCGCCAGCCATTCCTCCATCCAGGACATATCGGTTTGGCTTAGTGGCACTAACAGCCAAACTTTCCCGTTGGTCTACGTTCTTCCTATGCTATTTGTCACTACTAACAGATTACATTTTTACTTCATTACTAATATTCACCAAAGCCAAGTTAGCATTCCAATCATTATTAATATTAATTTCATTTTCCTCTTACGCGAATTCTTTGGGCTTTCAATGTAAGGTATAATTGAAAGCGTTGCAAAGTTATCAATTCCGTAGATATACTCCAAGATGGATCGGCATCTACTGCGACTGACTCAAGTGATTGATTATACAACGTGATAATGAAGTGGTTCTTGCATCTTTGATGACTAGTTCTTATTATGAAGCACTTCTCGTGAGACTGTGGCAGTAACAATTAGACTACATACCTCGTTATTCACCACATCTCATTCGTGTGTACTCCCCCACTCAATACATCTAGATCCACTCCACCAATCAACCACTCCCCCACTCAACCACTCCACTTTCTAATATGGGGAACACTATGGAGTGGGTCGAAGGATTCAGTCTCACCTTCGTACTCTGAAACGAACTAGAAGAAATGCACTTTGTCTCAAATTCGCCTTAAGCAGTTCATATTGTGAAAGTGTACGCGTTGGTAGGTTTAGTGGGGCAAGTGGCTTGGCAGTAAGAATAGGTAATGGTGGGGACTGAGAGGTGGGGAGGAAGTGCAAAGTTACCTTCTGCCTGACCTTATGTTCATACCAAAAGAGCCTACTTAGTCGAGGTAATAAATAGAAAAGTTTCGTGATAACTGATTGTCAGATAAATAGTATGTCTCAAATATAGTGAATATATAGTGAATACCATTTGGTTCCATTTCGGGTATTAGGGAATAAGCTATGTTCATTAAAGTTCTGCGAAATTTGAAATGACATGCTGTCAAATAGCATAGCAAGAACGTAGCTCAACGGCAAGGTTTGGCTGTTTGTGCCACTAAGCCAAACCGATTTGGCCTGGGTGGCGGAATTGCTGGCGAAATCGATGTCAATAAAAAGATGGGAAGCATCCATGTAAAAAGATGGAAAGCATCCATGTAATACATAATCGGCTATGCAACGAGTGAAACGACTGGGGTCAATGTGGCCAGGTTCCACTCCGGTTGTCGTTGAAGCAGCCAGTAACTGGTCTGGAAGAGCTTGATGGGTGAGCTGAGACTTCCGAGTCGTGATTGGCACAGTCATGGCAAGTCGCATTGATTCCCCATTCAATTTTGTCAACCCCATTGTAATAATGTGTGTGAAGAGTCATGAGAGATTTACAAAATTGAAGGCCTCTAAGCTGACAGTGTTAGCAAATC